GCGTTCCTGATAGAAAATGACGACTCCTCCAAAAAAACTCAGTTCTTCAAGTTCTTTTTACCAAAGAAGTCCCGCTCTGACGGCCCGACGAGTAATCTCCTAAAAAGGACCCTCCCCGCTGTGCGCCCCTCCTTGAATTATTCGGTCATGCAATACTTCTTTAATACAAAGAACAAAATGCATTTCGACCCAGTCGTAGTTCTCAATCATTTCGTGGCACCGGGCGTGGCTGAACCATCTACGATGGGGGGAGCGAAGGAAGGAAGCTTAGATAAGAGAATACGCTCTCGCATCGCTTTTTTTGTAGAAAGCTCGACCAGCGAGAAAAAGTGTTTGGCCCAAGCCAAAAAAAGGTTGATCCACTTCATTCGCTTGGCGAATGATCTTCGCTTCGCGGGAACAACAAAAACAACCATCTCGCTTTTTCCTTTCTTCGGTGCTACCTTTTTCTTTCCAAGGGATGGGGTTGGGGTTTCTAATAACCTTTTTTTGGAGTATGCCCGGGAACAACTCCAGGGTCAATTAAGGATCAAATGTTGGAACCTCATGGGTCAGGATAAGGTAATAGAATTGATAGATAAATTCATAGACCTAGGTGGGATAGGAGAATTTCAAAAGAGAATTGAGATGATGATAGAGATCATACTGAGAAACAGAAGAATTCCGTACGGTTACAACTCTTATTTGAACGAAGTGCAAAAAATGCGATCTTTTTTGTCTAATAGAACAAAAACGAAGACCTTAATGGAGTCGGTAAAGATCAAATCTGTTTATCAAAGTGCTTCTCTGATTGCTCAAGACATCTCTTTTCAACCGAGGAACAATCAAATCTCATTTCGTTCCATTTTTAGTCAAATAGTTCAGGATATTCCATTAAGAATGCCTCAAGGGGTTGAGGGGATACGTATTTGTTGTTCAGGTCGATCAGGAGGTGCGGAAATAGCTAGAACTGAATGCGGAAAGTATGGAAAAACATCTCGTAATGTATTTCACCAGAAAATAGATTATGCTCCTGCGGAAGTATCTACTCGTTACGGAATTTCAGGTGTCAAAGTGCGGATCTCATACAGTAAAAAGAAGAAGGGACGTGCTATATCCGAAACGTACGAAATTTAGTAAATATCGTAAAGGCAGATGTAGTAGGGGTCGCGAACCGGACGGTACACAACTTGGTTTTGGAAGATATGGCACCAAAAGTTGTAGAGCTGGTCGTCTTTCATATCGAGCCATTGAAGCAGCGCGTCGGGCTATAATCGGACAATTCCATCGTGCTATGAGCGGACAATTCCGAAGAAATGGTAAGATATGGGTCAGAGTTCTCGCAGATCTTCCTATTACGGGGAAACCTGCAGAAGTGAGAATGGGAAGAGGAAAAGGAAATCCTACGGGTTGGATTGCTCGTGTGTCCACGGGACAAATCTCATTTGAAATGGATGGTGTGAGTTTGTCAAATGCTCGACAAGCCGCTACATTAGCGGCGCATAAACCATGTTCGTCAACCAAGTTTGTTCTGTGGTCGTAACGTAATTGGTTAGTGGGGAAAACCCGGGCCGGGACTCAAAAAAATTGAAGTGTTTTTCCTGAACGACGGAAGTGGAAAGACAAACAGGGAGAGGTCGGCACGACTTCATCGCCGAAATTGTACGACGAACCTTCTTGTTCCAGGCGTACGACCCTGAGACGTGACGGTGTCACTTTTCCGGCCCGGTCAAGTGAAGTAAGAATAAGAAGGAGAAGAGCTCAGATTCAGGAAAGGATGACCGGTGTTCCAGGAGTCGTTTTTTTTTCTCTTTTGCTACGCACCTTGATCCAAACTTGAATGTGAACATACCAATACGACGTATTCGCGAGCGCACCTAACGATGACTAGTAGTGTGAACCAGGACTAGAAACTGGCCCCTGCAGTGTCAGCCGGGAGTACTGCAAAGGCCCTCTGCAGGGATAGAGGTTGTTCCTCTCGCCTTGCTCGAGTGGCCTAACGGCTCCTCTCGAACTACCTATCGAGCCTCTCTCCTCTCTTCCCGAATGCTTTCCTTAGCTAATACTGATTGATTCACCGCATCTTCTCGTTCATTACATTAGGAGATCTAACCAAGCACTCGAAATGCGACATTGACTCAAGAAGGTAGAAAAAAAAAAGGCAAACTAGAGAAAAAGCCAAGCTGACTGAATTGAATCTTTCAGTTGCTCTATGTGTTTCTAACTGCTGTGTAGTAGGGACCTGAATCCGCGACCTCATGGAGGTGCTTTTCCTCAGAAGCTAAACGTGCCTCTGCTATACCTCTGAAGTGCAATTCTCAAGTCAATAGCAAGAGGATTAAATACCTTATTTTCCAACCACAAAAAACTTTCTTTTTAGACGGAAATGTCTTTCGTTTCGAGCTGGGATATCCTTATGCAAGGTTCACTTTCCTGGTCAGAAAGGGGACAAGAACTAACGACTGAACGAACGAGTGAAACGGAGTTCACAACGGAAGAGTGATGGCATGCCATGCCGGGCAGGTGAGATCAAATAGATGATAAGTCCTAAAACAACTGGGAACCCCTATCTCCAACCGAGTTAAGGATTTGGTGGAAGAGGGGCAGCAGCCCAAAGGCAAGGTGCGGAGAGCGATAGCTTTCTCGCATCGCGTCCCCCAGTCCCATTACCCGCTCCGGTGATCTTAGCAGCTTGGCGGTGTACCCCCGATTGGGAGCCATTGCCGAAGAAATCGTGAAAGGCAACTGGCCGAGCCCGGCAAAAAGAGGTTTCCAGAGCGAAAGCGCTTGAAGTTGAATATTCTTCCGCGAGGCGGAAGCCTTCAAGCACGCTGTCTTTTGTCAAAGACTTTGAAGTTTGGACAACGGGTTGATCCACTGTTGTTGATGAGAGAGTGGACCACTTGCAATATCCTCCTTCAGCGCCTTCGGAAAGCGCCGCCTTACATTCGGACGGAGAGTCGGGGTCGAAGAACTAGGTTTGTTGCTACTACTACTTCTACTAGAAGTACCATAATCGGGCCGCTTGAAAAACGGCACTCTTTATTGTGTGCTCTGAGGAACTCCTGGTTAGAAGTCACCTTGAGTCCGCTAAAAGACTAGGGCTATGGTAACTAAACCGGTGTCGGCTACCGTTGACTGCTTCTTTGAGGGCTCTGAGCCCTAAGTCGAAGCGCTGGACTGCACTCGATAATGCTTCTTCTATTTCAACTAGCGCCTCGTCTCACTCTAATATACGGAAGGAATGTATCCGTCAGCAATATGTCTTTCTAGCTTGCACTGTATCGATCGGTCTTTTACAAGTCATGAGAATGACTATACTCCAACACTCCAACTCGTTCCGAAGCGGGAGCGGGTTCAAGCTCAAATCATGATTCTAAGCAATCGAAACGTCTCTTCGGAGTCAATGGATATCAGAACCTATGTTCAGTCAGTGATCTGGAGTAGACTCCGCGGGCGACTGCTTTGCTTGGAGTGCTGCACGGGAGGAAAAAGAAGAGGAGGCGCTAGAATAGAGGTCGAAGAGCAACAACGGATCCAAGACTTCGACGAAGAGGCACGTAGTGTTATGCGTGCTCACCTAGACAAGAGAGAGGAGGAAGTCAAGCCCTATCTCAGTAATGCTATGGTATAGCACCCCACTCAAATCATACGGTGACAGGAACACTAAATTTGACCACCGCTTCGCCAATATCGCTCTTTAGAATAGATCCTCTGGGGCATACGAGGATTCGTTCGCTGTCTTCGGCATTCAAGATGGACAGTTGCGTTTGAGGGGGCGTATTAAGGAGAAACCCGCATAGGTCTCGAGTGTACATATCTCACACGTGTGTACGTATTGTTTGACAAGAAATGTACATCGTACATCTAAAGAAAAGAGAATCTCACGCAGGTCCGTGAGATTGAATTACCTTCAACCTATTCTCAGACACCCACCCGAATTCGCATCAGAAAGAGAGCCCAGCCATAATGAGTGAGATCACAAGTCTTCGCTACAGAATCTGTCCTTAATGTAAGTAAACCAGAAATTGAACGAACGTATGACCCAGATGATCCCGGATCTAGAAATGAGGCTAGAGCTAAAATGCGTAACTTGGAGATTTGCTTTCTCGGGGAATATTTCAGGCTGTGTCGACCGATGGGAAAATAAGAAAAGGCGCTAGTACCAGGAGTATCCTTTGAAGCAGACGCCGAAAAAAAGGCTCCAAGATCAAGATCAGTTCTTTCAGGGGCATAATAATCCGTTGAGTCGGGGAACTTTTTCAATAGGTGGAGGCTCGGCTCAAGCTTCGGAAGAGGAGTTCACTACTCAATAAAGAAGTTCAAATTAGGCTCACCTGATGTTGTCCTTTTTGATACACCTTCCGGGGCGGTTTTCCCTATCTATTTAGAGTTTTCTAACCAAACGGAGCACGAAACCAATTGAGAGAAACTCTCACGTGTGAATGAGATCAAGAAGAAAGCTCCTGCTTTGAAGTAGCACTTGATGAGGGTGGGACCTCTTCGCAAGGAGGGGTTTCAATTCCACCGGGGAGGAAAATTCCACTTAGGAGGATTCGCCAACAGGTCATTCTATGAAAAAGGAATATGAGACATCGTTGTTTCCAACAGATGCTGATGCGTCGAAGAGGTATATGGGCAGGAAATTGACTGTATGCTGTCCGTTCTAGCGCCTTTACCCTAGAAAGAAACACAACACACCTAGATGGAATCGGTACGAAGTACTCGAGTGTGACATCAGCTCAAAGTGGTAACATTCACTCTTTAGCGAAGAGCAATCGAACGAAACCCCTTCAAAGCGTATGATGTTGCTTGGCTCGTTCCCCATTACTCAATAGGGCCTAGATCTCGGAAAAAAGTACAAAAAAAGGAAAGGTGCGTAGCATACATGTACATTGAAAGGTTTGCTATATAAACGACCTATGAAAGAATTCGTCAACTCACACTTCACCATACAGGAGTGGTCATGGATGCCTCAGCTGCATACATCACTGCACTTCCAATTGATGACACCTATCGTAATGAGAAAGGGCTCGTCTCGCCGTGACCTTATCTTGGATTCTCAAGACTTCTGTCGCTCCATCCCCGCACCGCAGGGGCAGAGAACCCGCCGCTGTCTCGGCTGTGCTACCGGAGGCTCTGGGGAAGTCGGAATAGGAGAGCACTCATCTTGGGGTGGGCTTACTACTGAGATGCTTTCAGCAGTTATCCGCTCCGCACTTGGCTACCCAGCGTTTACCGTAGGCACGATAACTGGTACACCAGAGGTGCGTCCTTCCCGGTCCTCTCAATGCTCTAACGCCCGCACCGGATATGGACCGAACTGTCTCACGACGTTCTGAACCCAGCTCACGTACCGCTTTCATGGGCGAACAGCCCAACCCTTGGAACATACTACAGCCCCAGGTGGCGAAGAGCCGACATCGAGGTGCCAAACCTTCCCGTCGATGTGAACTCTTGGGGAAGATCAGCCTGTTATCCCTAGAGTAACTTTTATCCGTTGAGCGACGGCCCTTCCACTCCGTCGGATCACTAAGGCCGACTTTCGTCCCTGCTCGACGGGTGGGTCTTGCAGTCAAGCTCCCTTATGCCCTTACACTCGAGGGCCAATCTCCGTCCGGCCCGAGGAAACCTTTGCGCGCCTCCGTTACCTTTTGGGAGGCCTACGCCCCATAGAAACTGTCTACCTGAGACTGTCCCTTGGCCCGTAGGTTCTGACACAAGGTTAGAATTCTAGCTCTTCCAGAGTGGTATCTCACTGATGGCTCGGGCCCCCCCGCAAGGAGGCCTTCTTCGCCCTCCACCTAAGCTGCGCAGGAAAGGCCCAAAGCCAATCCCAGGGAACAGTAAAGCTTCATAGGGTCTTTCTGTCCAGGTGCAGGTAGTCCGCATCTTCACAGACATGTCTATTTCACCGAGCCTCTCTCCGAGACAGTGCCCAGATCGTTACGCCTTTCGTGCGGGTCGGAACTTACCCGACAAGGAATTTCGCTACCTTAGGACCGTTATAGTTAC